GTCTTGGCTCTTTTCCTGGAGGAGTGACCCATACCTTCATTCCCAAAGGGCCTATGCCCTTTGTCACTCTGCCTGGGTTAGGTAGTTGTAGTTTCCCATCTACTTTGATCACAGGACATGGTCACACCAAGGGATGCCCTAAACATAATTTTTCTTACCTCCAATGTGGAGAAGTCATCCACCAATCACCCCATTCTGACACTGTTATCTGTTATTCATTCCTTAACTTAAGTGCATCAGAAACCCAGAGTGGTGGTGGTGGTGGTGGGGGGAGTCTGAGCTTCCAGACCAATGAAATGCTTGTTGTGTCTTGTGGCAGGAACACACCCCACTTCTAGTACCAAATTTTGTCTTAATTAGGGTTACTATTGCTGTGATGAAACATCATGACCAAAAGTAAGATGTGGGGATGCTTATTTGGCTTACATTTCCACATCACAGTTCAGTATCGAAGGCAGTCAGGACAGGAACTCAAACAGGGCAGGAACCTGGAGGAAGGAGCTGATGCAGAGGCCATGAAGGAGTATTGCTTACTGGCTTATTCATCATGCTTTGCTCAGTCTGCTTTCTTATGGAATTCAGGACCACCATCCCATAGGTAGAAACACTCCTAATGGTCTGGGCCCTGCCCAATCAATCACCAATTAAAACAATGCTCTACAGGTTTGCCTACAGCCTAATCTTATGGAGACATTTTTCTAGTAGTGTCTGTCTTCTTAGTTGACTATAACTTGTGTCAAGTTGACATAAAACTAGCCAGCACAGATACCACATATAAAGCACTGACTGTTCTTAAAATTCTGAGAGTATTTCCAGGTCTATATAGTCATTCAGTCTTGGCTTCAAGTTACAGAAGTAGATTCCATCTAATGTATATAAAAACCACAGGTCTTAGATCAGTGGCTCTCAACCTATGGGTCATGACTCCTTTGGGGACTGAATTATTCTTTTACAGGGTTAACCTAAGACCATCAGAAAATGTAGATATTTACATTATGTTTCACAACAGAGCAAAAATTACAGTTATGAAGTAGCAATGACAATAATTTTAAGGTTTTGGGTTCACCACCACAACATGAAGAACTGTATTAAAGGATCACAGAATTTGGAATGCTGAGAACCACTGCCTTAGATGAAGTCTTGGGACTTTACTAAGAGCCAACAGTTAGGAGTGGGTTAGAAGAAGCCATACTGAGTGGGCTTAGGAAGTCTATGACTCAGTGGTTTCTTTTCCCTCAGTTCCACTCTTTCTGTAACACACGCACACGCACACTCACACACACACACGCGCACACACACACGCACACACACACGCACACACACACACACACACGCACACACACACGCACACACACACGCACACACACACACGCACGCACACACACACGCACGCACACGCACACGCACACACACACGCACACGCACACACACGCACACGCACACACACACACACGCACGCACACACGCACGCACACACACGCGCACACACGCACACACACACACACACTTTGCATTTCTTCCTTTTCTGTCTTTCTCTACTTCTCTTGCTTAAAACATGACCAGCTAAAGCACCCGAGTTTATACAAGTCAGTTTCTACCATCTGGAGTAAGACCTTGGCTCCATTTTGAAAATCCTAAGAAAGCATTGTGATTGGCCCATGCTCGATCAGCTGCTCCAACTCAAACCAATCCTGTGCTCCATTTTAGAATAAGCACAGTGTCCACCTGACTGTGTGGATGGAAGAGGGAGGTGGCAGGAAAGGCATCGTTCCCAGCTTCCGAATCCAGAAGTGGCCAGTGTTCAAACGTAAGAGCCATTTCAAGGCATGATGGAATTACTGACTTTCAGCAACCTCCATTTGGGCTATTTCAGAGTTGTCTCTGGTGACCCCAGCTGCCCTGTTTGGGGGACTTGGGAGAATTTGGTATAGTGTCACTGTAGTGGTTGTCTGTGAGACCCTAACACCGTGAGCATATGTATCTTTAGTCTGACAATTAAATACCCATAGAAGTACATGTGTTAATGTTTGGTCTCCAGTGAATGATGCTGTTTTGGAAGGATATAAGAACTTTGGTTTGTGTGGTCTCAGTGAAGGAAGTGGGTCACAGGAACAGGTCTTTGAGGGTCTAATATCCCTGTCCGCTTCCTGTCACTTTCTTAGCTTTCCGCTAGGCATGAAGTGTCTAGCTCTTCTCCACTGTGTGACCCATTTGAGTACATGGGATAACATGCCATGGGTAAACTCCCTGAAACCATGAACCCTTTCTTCCCTAAGTTGTAACTGGGTCATTTATGTAATGAATACATTTTTGTCATTAGAGAACCACATTTCTTGATTCATGGTACATAGAGTTCCAAGATGTCTGCTGAGGGTTCCTATAAATTCAAACATGTGCCTTCATGATGCCCAATCAACCATTTGAAGCATGGAGTGTATTTGACAAGCAGTCGTTGAGACCCCAAATAAGAACGTGACCATATTCAACCTTGCCTCAGCATTGCAGGTGGGCCTCTGATGAACCAGCTATGATTTATATGTTTGGAAAAATAAGGGAAAGGGGACAAGGAACCCTGACTAATGAGTCAGCAACTTTGTAGATCTATTTTCTCAGAAACCCCACCCAACTTTCACTTACTTCCTGTTTCTAGAACTTACAGTTTTAAGAGTGCTGCTATGGGCAAGAAAGGTTGGAAAATGCAGTTTTTTTTTGATGGACTGCCATCCTGGTTTTTTTTTGCTCCATGGGGAAAAAAAAGAGCAGATTGTGGGTCTCAGAGTAGAGTTGTTGAGCAACACATCTGTCTCCCACCTCTGCTTTGCTGTGCTTCAGCTCCTGTGAGCACCATAAAATTCCAGGTTTCCGTGTGAATTATTTAACTATTCATTTATTATTGAGCAACATGGCAGCACTGGACAAGGATAGAAAAATACCTTTGCCTTCACTGAGCTTCAAATTGGGGGGTGTGTAGACAAAAACAAGATAAAACAGAGACTTGGTCAAAGCTGACAAAGCACAAAGTTGGGAGGTGTAGACAGACCCTGGAGCGGTGACTTGAGAGCCAATGGACACCAGAGAAATGAGGGACCCAGGCACCAGGAGGAGGATCAGAGACCCAGAAGATGACACCTAAGAGCAGGACCTGCAAGTACAAAGACCAGAGCATGGAAATGGCCTGCATGTATCTGGTTAGGGTGCAGCTATGTATGTGTGGAGGGCCACTTGTATACCTTCCATACCCAGAATGACTATCAACCTATCAAGCAACAGCTTTAGGCTTCATTTCACTATTTGTCCAATGGGTTGGCAGGTTTGTGGTCTATTGGCCCTCCACTGTAGATGCTAGGTCTCAGAAATCTGGGGTGAAAAGCTAACTGAGGTGCCTGGTAACATATTAAAGCTGATGCTGGCTAGCTCTCCCAGCATCACTCAGTATCTGTGATTCCCCACAGCATCACTGAGTACCTGTGGCTCCCCGAGCTCTCCCAGTATCACTTGGTATCTGTGGCTCCTCCCAGTACTTCCCACCCTGCCTCCTTCTCTAAACCTCTCCCTCCAAGAGGCTGGGTTTCACTTTCCTTCCCCCAGCATCTGATCCCCACCTAACAGCCATTTTGACTACACTGGTCTCTGAGCCCCTCTCCGTTGGTATCTCCTCTCTTGCTTTCCCTCTCTCCTCTCATAGTTCAATTTAGTCTGCTGGCCATGTTCAGCCTTCTCCCTTGTATCTACACTAAAAATCTTCCCCATACTTTAGGAGTAGCCGTGTCCTTTCATTTCAGTTTTCACTCAGTTGGGATCTAATAAAAACCTTAGATTCACACTTTGATTCTCCCCAGTGACACACACATATCAGACAAACACCACACGTGCTTCAAACACCCATCATACACATCCTATGTCATACAGGTCACACACATCTCACATATGTCAAACACACGTCACACATCACGTGTACATACCATACACATCCCACACATTCCCCACACACATCACATTTGCAAATACCTTTTATTCTTCCCAGCACCTCTTAAACCCAGCACTGCTACCCACTGGCTGGCTGTGCTGGGATACCTTTTTAAAGCCCCCAGTCTTCAGAGGAAAGGAGCAATCCCACCTCACACAGCTGAAGCTGACATGAGTGGAGACCTCGATGGTCTGTTAGAAATGTATTGAATGTGAAAGCATCTTCAAAAGCATGCTTGAGGTGCGCCTTGAACAAAGGGATTGTTGCCAGTGGGTTTAAAGATGGGGCCAGACCCAGAGGCAGATGGAATTACTTAGAGGCAGTTAGGGAAGGAATTCAAAGTGCAAGCCGAGACACAAACCTGGATTAAACCTCCCGACTGTGAGGAAATTCGCACTGTGAAGTTGGCCTGCCTTTTTTTTTTCCTTTTTACCCCCCTCTCTTCCAGTCCAAGCCCCAAACTGTAAGTCTCAGATGAACAAGGGCAAGTGTAATTGAGTGAGCAGAGTGACAGAAAGAGAATTATGAGAGATGGGAAGCCGTTAGTATGATTCATGGGATGGAGCAAGAAGCGCATGCTAGGTTCTGGCTAAGTGCTGTCTGTCAGAAACTGCTGGGGGCCTTTGGAGAAATGGCCACAGCACACACGCATGCACTAGAATCTCAGCAGTGCCTATAATTAACAGAGGAGGTATTTTAGAAATGCAGCACAACTAAGATCTCACCAGCACCACTCTGTGCCAGAAGTCATTGCAGAAAGCAAGAACTTGCTGGCTCCTGGAACCTGGAAGTCTAGGCAGGTGCTCCCGGAGCAATGGAAAGTTGCTGATGAGGGATTTAGAAAGCAAGCTGTCACCAGGTCCTTGACCATGGAGTAGGTGGAACCAGGACGAGGTCTTTCTAAAGCAAAAGCTCTTCCTAGTCTTTCAACTCAAAATCCCCTGGTAATGCCACAGCATAAGCAGGAGCAGCACCTGCTATGCAAAGTTCAACCCACTGACCTCTTTAAGAAGACAGACAATAACTTTCAATCTTGGGGGAAGTCAAGGTTTATTTGGACATGAAAAGAGCACAGAACCAAGGGCATTAACAAATTCAAATAGTTCAAGTTTAAAAAAAAACTTAGATGAATTTGTTACATACATAGAATGGAACATTACTAAGCAGTGAAAAAAACGAAATCTTGTCATTTGTGACAGCAAAGATAGACTTCAGAGGACAATATATTAAATATAGTAGACCAGACACTGAAGGCAAGTAGAACACAGTCTTGCTCTTTTGTGGAAGCTAGGACTATGCTTTGGAATTTCATTTACCAGAGAATGGGAGGTCAAGTTCACAATGAAAATGACCCATCATGGAGCAAATAGCATCTCTTTCCATTGTTAGTGAGAACAATATGCTATCATTGACAGATATCTTGCTGATGCTAGCCCTCCTAGCTAGGACTGTAATTATGTGTCCTTCCCTTCCCTCTTAGCATAAAAACTTCTGTGCATCAACAATTCAAAAAGGGACAATCATGGTACAAGCCCCAAAGTGGACCGGAAGTTTGAATAGGGCATTCATAGAAGCCATGGGAGTAACTGACGGGGTATGAAAGGCACCTAGCCCTGCTATTCATCAGGGATTACAAATTAAGACCACAGTGGGATCCCACTGGTAGGCATGCGCAGCTGCACCTGCATTTCTAGAACACCACCCCAATGGTCTGCCCATGGCCTCTTTGCTTCACCTGCCCTTCCTTCCATCCTGCAGTGGTCGCCACACCACCCGGCTCCTGTCCCTCTTCCTCTGCTTCCATTCCTCTATGCTGCATTCATAGCTGGCCAGGTCTGCCCAGTTTCCCACCTTTTGGAGGTCCCAAAACAATGGAACAGTTCCATCCTTTAGCCACCTTGGGCTGCTTCTGCCTCACCTCACAAACCAGCTGAGCCTTGATTAATTCCTCTGCAGATTCCCAGACCCAAATGTCCTTGGTTTTCTTTGTTTTCCCAGGGTTCTCTCAGCAAGAGCCCCCAAGTGTGCTCCTGGGTCCCGCATGGCCCGCTTCCAATTTGCCTCTTTTCTCTACTCCAGGCATACAACGGGCGCTACTCATGCCACAGGGGCTTTGCGCATGCCTGCGGCGCTCTGCTCCCATCTACTCATCTCTGCCCTGTTGGTATCCCTACAATTCAGATGCCCTGGTTCCTAGTCTCAGACCACGTGGATCTCAGCATAGCTGTGTTGATCACAGCTCTAATTTAACGCTTGCCAGTGTGAGGGGTTCTCCCAGCTCCTCTGCTGGGCAGGGTAGTCATGTTCCCCTGCTCAGAATACCTCACAGCAGCACCCAGCAAGGTATGCCAGGACCCTGGGGTGCAGGGAGATGGGTGGTCAGCTGGTCAGGTGGTCAGGGTGGTAACCCTGCTCCTAATCCCAGCTTTGCCCTTCCTAGTTGTGAGACCATCACCAAGTTTCCTGACACCTAGCTCAATGCATAACAGGGCTTGAGGGCCCATGTGGAGAGGGAATGAATTTCCTGGGGCCTTAATTTTGTCTGTGGCCTCAAGAGGAAGTACCATAACACAAGAGGAAAGGGTCCGTAGCTAGCAACCATCTGGATAAATTGTTAGCACAGAGCGACTGCTTCACCACTGTGTGCCAATCCTCATTTGCCAATTAATTCAAGGCCTCATCAGCGTGAGGGTGACTGGCTTAAGGAGGAACAGAACCCGTAATAGCAATTCTTTTCAGTGAGTGAAGGCAAGGGCTCCTTCGGCGGTTCCTGTGTGCGAGGAACCCACTTCAGAAAGACCTAGAAGAAACAGGGCTGCTGGGCTTGAGGCAGATGGGATGGTCTCCCATGCACTCACCTCACTGCTCAAGCCACTGGGGGTGGGGAGCTGGAAAGACCAGCGTCTACGGGACATGTGTGCGCAACCTTTCCCACAGGGACACAATTTGTCCCTTTCGGGCCCATGGCTCTTGCACTGTCTGTAGACATACCCCGCACCGAGCCAGGGCTTCCTGAATCCACGCATGGATGTTGCTCAGATTTCCGTCTTCTCCTCAGCTCAGACTGAGGCATTTCATGCACTCAGAAACTACATAGTGACTTCTGAACCTGACCTTGAACAAGCAAAGCATGATGGAACTGATGCTCCTTCAGTTCTGGGAGGTTCCTGCTTACACTAGGAGCAGCCCAGGGCAGAGACGCGGACTGAGGAAGCTGGTGGCAGCTAGGCAGGTGAAGAAGATGGGCACACACCTGGTGACTATGCCCCAGTGCCTTTTTTTTTTCCCATAAGAAAACAGTGACAGTGGAAGTAAAGGATTAGGAAACGCAGGCCTGAGCCAGAAAGGAAAAAGTGATCACAGCAAAGTCAAGCCTCTCACAGCCTGGGGGGGGGGGGGTCATGAGGAGCTGCAGTCGGACGAGTGGAGTTTCCAAGTCTGGGAGCACAGGCCTGGACTTGTGCCTCCCCAGCAGAAGTGAACAGTGTGTGTCTTTGTTTCGCAGAGGATGCCCATCAGAAGACCCAGCTCTGGGCTGACGGTGGGTGACTCACGCCTCAGTGCTGTCTGTCCTGAGCTCTGTGGGAAACAGATTCACCAATTATTTTCAAAGTGGTTATCAGCTTTCCTTTCTCTTGTTCTTCTACTGTCTCTTTTAATAGGAGAAATTGAGGACCATAATCATCTGTATGTTCACAAATCAGTGGCAAGAAATGCTTGTGGTCCAAGTCTGAAACATCCCCACCAGCTCATGTGTTTGAGTGCTTGGTCTCTAGCTGACGTAGGGAGGATTTGGAACGTTTAGGAGTGGGGGCTGTGGCTGCCTTAAGTTACCAGAGGCAGGGGTTTTCAGGTTATTAGACGCTCCTGGTATGTCCTGACAAGCCCTGAAGGACGACTCCTTTATGACTTCCCCACTGAGACGGTTGAAGCCAAGGGTCAATGCTGACAATCCTTCAGGTGCCTTGGTTACAGAGACACAACAGTAACAGTTAAAACTGTTACAACAGTAATGCAATTGCTGCTTGGGCTAAGAACTCTGCAAGAAAAGCTGGGTAGCCCCAGCGTCTGTCCCCACCTGCTCGCCAGCTACTAATATTGGTTGTCCTTGTCTCCTCATTCTATTCTGCTCCATCAGAAGGGGGAAATTCAAGCAATGGGGAAGAGTCCCAGCCAGTCAGAAACCTTTAACAGTCTACAAGGTGTGCCGCAGATCCGGGGTGTGCCAATTCCAGTTCCATTAGGTAGGCTCCTGTTGCAATTATGATCTTATTGAAAGCAATGCTTATGTCTCTGTAAATAAAGATAGAGGGCGACAGCCAACACACACATGCCAGGCAGAGCACGTTGGCCCTAAGGATACAGAGTGTCCCTTCAGCAGTCTGTTGCTTCAGTGAAGTCGGGGTCGATCTGTGAGAGACTAGCCAGTGCCTGCTGCATGCAGATTGGCAATTTGTCAGTGTGCAAGCAACAGGAGTTGAATTTAAAAAGGGCTCTTGAATTCTGCAGCATGCTAATCCAGAGAATTCTTACATCTGGTTAATTCTTCGGCATTGGATGCGCGCCTATCTCCTTCCATGAACCACGGTGATCCTGGAAGCCTCTCCCACTCTGCCCGGGCCCTGCCATCCTTTTCTCTCCTGTTACACACCCTCCTGGGGCTTAGCTTTTTCTCTAAGGCCTGGCCTCGGCTGCTCCTTCAGGCTCTCAAACGTTAACTGCCTTTCTCTCCAGCTAACAGCCACAGCCGGCGTTTTTTTTGCCCTGACCAATCAGATAATCACATTTCTCTAGCCACAATGGTTGGTTCAGAGGTGAACATGTGACTCAATTTGAACCAATGAGGGACAAGCATAGGATCTGGTGGGGTCCGTGGAGCTAAGATGACTAAGTGTGGAGCTTCCATGGGTTTCTATAGGGAGAGCGCCTGCCCAAGAACTTCAACTCCCGGAGAGGAAAATCACAAGTCCAGAAGATATCAGACAAGCCACTAGATCAAGCCATACCCGAGGGCAATATTCTCAGATCTTTAATTATTAGAGTATATTAGATTTGTTTGTTTTCCTTTTTTCTGTCTGTGATATGACCCGTCTATAACCTCAGTTTTCTGGAGGTTGAGGTAGAAAGATTGCAGTTTCAAAGCGAGCCTGTGAAAGTTAATCTTTTTTTTTAAGCTCTTTTTTGAGAAGTTTGAGTTGTTTCTGTCTTTCATAACTGATACACTTTCCACATTGCCCAATTTACACTTCAGAAACCTAGAGGCTGTATTCTTCTCTGTGTCTTTGTACCAAAGCTGGAACTTGGGTTGTGTTGCTGTGACGAAATACCTAACAAAAGAAACGCACAGGAAGAAAAGGTTTCTTCTGACTCACAGGCCTGGGGTGCAGTCTGTCATGGTGGGAAGTGGGGTGCGGAAGTGTAAGTAGCTCGTCACGTGCCCACTGTCAGGAAGTCGAGATGAACACTGGTGCTCGGCTGGCTTTCTCTCTTGTTTCATCTTTGTTCTTTTTATTTGCTCCAGGACCCTGGCCCTTGACATTCAGGTTGGATCCCACTTAGATTTTAATTCTGCTCCAGTAAGTTGTTCATTTCCATAACTTTCTACAGGAAAATACTTGCTTTTCCCAACTCCTTATAGAATTATTTTTGGTAAAGAGAGTACTCCTCAGCTCCCTACTGCTTGCATTGTTTTTGCAAGGATGCAAATTGGGACAGAGGAAGCCCAAGTTGATGTGCTCATGTCATTGAAATGTCAACTTGCTCAGCCACAGCACAGCTCAGACACTCCTGTGACATACCCACCTCTGTGTGTGGGACTCAGGCTATGCTGTTTGCTCCCTGCAGGAACTTGTGTCTCAGCTCTGGGTTCTTGTTTCCTGCAAATGCCATCCCCCCTAGCACACCCAGGGTTCAATGGCACGAGGCAAAGATCTTGAAGGTTGCATCTCTGCAGTTGTAGCAGATATAATACTTGTTGGATCACACGTGTGCCCCTTCCACAGCTCTGTGTCTGCAGCCTGAAAGGGTTAGCAGCACCATTCTGTTGGGGAGGGAACATGTTTTGTCTGCTAATTTGTTTCCACTGAAACAGTCATAACTGTGTGTTTGGCTCTCAGACATTGGCAAGGTGAGCAGGAGAATCTGCCTTGTGTCTCAGCCTGGTGTGGGTGAGCAGGCAGTTCTGGAAATGCCTAGAGGGATCCCAGGATTTAGTGCCTAAGGGACACTGCTCTGTGAGGCAAGGAGAGCCCAGCTGCAGTGAACTTTAGTCCCAGAGATGTTCCCATCCCAGGTGTACCAGGTGTCACCTGCCCCAGGATCAGGTAAACACTACAGAGATACAGAATACAGCCTTGGTGTTCATTCTCCTTGTCCACATGTCTAGAGAATACTTGCTGTGTTTGAAATGCATGAACACTCTTATTGAGTGACAGTCACTAGGGATAGGCACACCTCTTGAGAAGGTCCAAGTAGGCCTCTGGTTCAGGTGGAGATCTCCAAGCACATATGTGACAAGTTGTGCTCTTTTGCAACATAATTGTGTAGATTGAATGAAAATGCTCCCCCCCCAGACTCATAGGGAGCGGCACTATTAGGAGGTGTGGCCTTGTTGGAGGAAGTGTGTCACTAGGTGTGGGCTTTGAGGTTTCAGAAGCTCAAGCCAGGCCCAATGTCCACTGTGGATCCAGATGCAGAACTCTCAGCTACCTCTCCAGTCTGCTTGCCTGCTTCCCTCCATGACAATAATGGACTAAACCTCTGAACCTGTAAGAAAGCCCTAATTACATGTTTTCCTTTACAAGAGTTGTCATGGTCATGGTGTCTCTTCACAGCAATAAAACCCTAACTAAAACACAAATGAAATGGCTGTCTTTGCCCTGAAGATCAGGGCCTATGATCCGGTGACCTGAGGGCCAGCTCCTTTATTTTTTTAAAGCTTGCATGTGTGTGAATTTAATTTGCATTGCATTTAAAATATAGTTAATCACAGGACTAGAGAGACAGTGAAGCGGGTAAGGGTATTGGCCACAGAAGCCTGATAACGTGAGTTTGAACTCCATTAGAGAATCCATACAAAAAACCAGATGTGCACATCTGTAATCGCAGCACCCCTAGAGCAAGATGGAAGGCAAAGGAAGGAGAGCTGACTGAGCTCTCAGAGGCCAGCTCTGCCTGGAGTAGCCAGCTCTGCCTGGAGTAGCCAGCACAGCGGGAGACAAAGAGGCAAGAAGCTACTCTTGCCATCTGCATTCTGGCTTCCCTGAGTGTGTGACGGCATGCCTGCACACACATGGGCGTGCACAAATATAGAAGGAAAACGCCAAGGATGTGGGAAAAGGACTTCCATGGAGGGAGGAGGGAGGATGACAGAGGGGAGGGAGGTTTTAGGGTGGAGCTGAAAATAATTAAAATGCATCATATGTCTGTATGAAATTGTCAAAGAATACATTTAATCTACAAAAAAGCTGTTTCCCCAAAATATTTACATCCATTTCATGTATGTAATATGTAACTAAATGGAAGCTGGGTAGGGATAATGTGATATTATTAAAATAGGAGTTTGTAGTTCCAGGGGATGACACTGTGACTTGTGGTTTTGTTAGTCCCAACCTGGCTCCATTGCTTTGATAGCCTCCTGAGTCTGAAGACTTAGGAGATTACTGTTGGGGTGAGGTGACATGTTAAGGAGTCTCTTAAATTCCATCCAGAGTCGGAGACAACCAGACACAGGTATCCTCAGGGACAATGAACATCAGTGAAGAAGGCAAATATTTCTTGTAAGCTAACAAAGACAAGCATGGGATGTCAGGCAGAGTAACGGTCACTCTTCTGGTTGGAATCAATGATCCTGAAAACTGTGCTGTGATAAAGAGTAACAGAATCCAAGACCAGATCCCCTTTGCTTCACCAGAGGTCATGTGGGATCCCCCATGCCCAAACACACAGCAGTTTCCTGACGCAGCCAAGCTGGCCTGTTTCAGAGAGACACACCTCTTAAAACTTTGTCTTGAATCTTTTGCAAATCTACATTGAAAGATGAAGAAATGCAGTGACACTTGGGATTGGAGTGGACCAGCATTCCATAGGACTCTTCAGGGGGCAAGGAAACTGGGTCCTGTGTGACCAAGACAGTTGTGTAACTCTAGCAGGGCAGGGACATGAGTAGCTGTTGGGTCCTGATGCTACTTCTGACCTGTGTGTGGAAGCATCATGGACAGATGCTTGGGGAGCTCAGCTCTGGAACCAAATGATTTATGTTCAAATCCCACCTTCCTGTGTTATCTTGGGCAATTTACTTACCTTTACTGGTCACTAAGTTCCTTAGGTTGATTTTAGCATTCTCTAGAGTAACAGAATTTACAGAACAAATCTCTATGTATAGAAAGAAGGAAGAGGCTTACTAGAATAAGTTTCAGGCTGCGGTCTGGCTAATCCAACAATCGCTGGCCATGAATAGAAAGTCCAAAAAATTCTAGTCCACAAGGTTGGATGTCTCAGCCAGTGTTCAGCATACACCAGAATCCTGAAGAAGCAGGCTCTAATGCCAGCGAAGGAACGGAAGTGCTAGTAAGGCAAAGACAAGCTTCCTTCTGCCATGTAGGTTTCCAGCAGAAGATGTGCTCCGGATTATGACCATTCACTACCATTTCCTGTGCTGAGAGAAGGAGAGCTAGCCAGTAGAGAACAGAGAATGGAACATCACCTTCCCTCACATGAGGTCAGAGCTCAGGGCCTCATGCTCAAGCTTGGCTCTAACTTTGGAGAGACCTTCCCACACCTTTGCTTCAGGGGATGGTAGAGTGCCAGCTTCCATAAGTTAAGAGACTAGGTCTTCTTCTCTCAGGGGAACACTGTCTATGCCTAAGTCACTCACCTGTTTCAACAATGGACCACATCTGTAGTCAGTCTCATGGCTCAAGGTTCTTGATGGACCTTTCCTGTGTTTAGACTCAGATATTTACCACTGTGTTGCAGCTGCCTGTTTTACTCAGTATAATAACATGCTATATGTTGTAGTCTAGTGTGAAACAGGCTAGACCATCTAGGCTGTGATGTTTGCACAACCTAGAAAATTGCCTAATGATGCAATCTTCAGAACTTGTCCTCAGTATTAAGCAACATATGACTTTGTTTACTTTAAAGATTCTAATCCCAACTAGGTGTCAGGAAGGTAGAAACCTGATGGCTAGCTTGGGTTACACAGTGAGTTTAAAGCTAGTCTGGGCAATTTCTTAGCCTGTCAAAACTAAGCTAAAATAAAGATCTGAGGCAATAGGTCAATAGTATAGAGCTTTCCTAGAATCTTGCAAAAAGTATTTGTCTTTACAATTAATGTACCTATGTGTGAATGTACACACCACAGCTTCTGTATGAACATCAGAGGATAACTAGCAAGCGTGAGTTCTCTCCTTTCACCATGTGAGTCCCAGGGATGGTACTCAGGTACCATTACCTGCTGAGCTATCTCTCCAATCCTTTCGTAACATCTTTAAATCCCTGGGTTAAATCTCCAAATCCACACAATACACGAATGCACACACACACACACACACACACACACACACACACACACACACACAACTGCAGAAAATCAATCAAAATTCCAATCTTGTTCTGGATTGGCTAGATAAATATTTTTAAGAAAATGCAGAACTATCAATTTTAGGGTAAATTTTTCCAGTGTTCTGAGAAATAAATTGTATAAGCATGAAAATACGGATGCAGGCTGCTCCCTCTCGGTGAGGGTTAACGCATTATGGTTTGGAGCCTCTGAGCTGGGTTCCTGGAGCAGTGGCTGTTGGCTCCTCTAGAACCTTACTAAGGGTTCTGTCTTAGTTTCTTTTTCTGCTGCTGTGCTAAAATCCTCTGACAAATGTGTCTTAAGCGAGAAAAGTTTATTTAGCAGACACTTTTGGGTTACTGCCCATCTTGGCAGTGGAACTGCAGTGTCAGGAG